AGGGGAAGAGAGTGACTCCTGCCTCCCGCTGTCATCATCATCTTCTTTTGGGTTAGTGAATCAATTAAACCTTTCATGATAGTGAGATCGTTTCCCAAATTAATTATTTTTATTTTTGAAATTTACCAGTAGCTGCTGCATTTCCCACCCTCGGCTTATACTTGAGTCAATAAGTTTTCCCAGTTTTTTTGTGTAAAATTAGGTGCCTCGGCTTATATTCGGGTCGACTTATACTCGAGTATATACGGTAATATTGCAACAGTCTTCCTTGCAGTTCATGATGTGAAGCCTTGAGTTATATTTTACTGGAGACTTGACAGGAGATTAATTATAATATCAGTATTTCAGACTAATTTATGCAACTTTAGACAGGCAATCTAAATTAGAAATTTGTCCTGAATGAAAATTGTTTCTTATCATTTTTATATAGGAAACACTGTGCCTTATTACCTTTTTACATTAATATAATTTTGGTGTTGTTATTTATTTGTTTGTTTGTTTATTTGTTTGGTTAATTAATTAATAAGCTGCCCAAGTCCCAAAAATGTACTTAAATGTACAAAAACTTACAACCAAAAACCAACATACAACTAACCAGAAAAGTAAAATACAAAATAAAACAAGACAAAATAAAGATGGTATCAAAATCACTCTATCCTCAGGCTTGGGAGACTAACTAGGTCTTCAACCAAGAAGTCCAGGATTTTGCCATGCTTTTTCTCACCCATATTCTGGTTTACTTTGACATTTCAATTTGCCTCAAGAACAATAAATCCATTGTATTTATTACAGTGAATTTATAGTAATTGATAACTCCTCTTGAGACAATTCTGAGACAATAACTAAATATCATAATAAATAAGAATGTACAAACCAATTAGAAGTTAAATGAGTTAAATATCCCTTCCAAAGTTTTTAAAATAAGTTCAACAAACTATTGGAATTTTCCTTTTAAAAAATATGGAAATATTTTTTTTAATTTTTTTTTAAAACTCCTTTTTCCAGCTATAGTGATCTGAACGAGCAATCCAGTCAAAATCCAGTCAGCAATCCAGTTTTGTGTTAAGAGAGTGAATCTCTTACAGAGTCACTTTTTGTCTCACTGGAGAAAATGGTATGTGGTAGGAGAGGAACCACAACATGTACCATTCTATATGTAATACATCTGTATACATAAAATTAAATATTTTACTGATACTTGGTAATTAAATTATCCTGGTGAACATGTGAATATTATAGACATTACTTATTACTGAGTCAATATTAATATCAGTCACTCAAAAAAGTTGCATATTTTAATTACCTTTTTTCAGAAATCTTTTGAGAACCAATATATAAATTTATTACATAAATAATAGTACTACATTTTTCATTTAGCATACTAACATTGTATATGTTATAATGCATAGATTTTAGGTTTGTAAGGTTCCTTCACATGCCAAATTATTCTTTTTTAATTTGCAAAAAAGCAAGAATATTTGGTAATGATGAGTAATCAGGACTGACTTTAGCAAAAAAAAGTTACCATAAAAAATTATTTTTTTATCAAATTCATCAATTATAACATATCCTTCTAATTGAGTTCCATTACTGATTCTATGGACATATTGTATTACCTCCTTGGCAGCAATACTGTATGAAAGAGGTTTGCCACTATTTTCTATAATAATTAAAAAAAATCAGGAGTTGAGTTAGGAATACAGCCCTGATTTTTCCTAGTGGACTCTCATCCAAACACTAACCAAGTCTGCTACCTGCTGAGATTTTTTCAGCTATTTTGATGCACAAAAAAGTGTCAATACAATGCAAACATCTGTGAGCATGCATATAGATATATATTCTCATGCATGTGTGTGTGTATGTGTGTGTGTACTTTCCCCCTACATTTTAACAAGAATATTATCTTAGAAAATATATTTATACCTTATTTAATGTTATAGTTTTAGTTCCTCAGTTTATACTCACATTAGATGAAAACAAGACATTTAATATTTTCAGTAGCATTCAAGCTGGCTATCTAATTGTCCTGTCTCAATTTGCTTTTTGTTAATTGGTGCTTGTGATGGCTTTCTCTTCTACAACTTCTGTTCCTCGGCTTTCTTTTCTGCTGCTGGAAAATCAGGGAGAAGATTCCTCTATATTGCCTTGAATTTTGGAGCATTTAGAAGCTCTACTACTGTTTGTTGGTTGAGAATGATATGTGGCTCCATTTTTCTCCCAGATATTGCTAAATTTTGCCATATGTGTCAACAATTGAGTATATGAGGTTTCATATAAAATACTAATTATTATAATACTAATATAATACATATTCCAATTAAATATGGAACACTGGTAATTATCAAAATGTGTTATTGAATCCAGCAGTTATGTTCTGTTTTGTTTATTCATTAGTTAAAATGCTTTATTCCAAAGAATAATGGCATATGCATATTAGAATGAGGAAAAATCTAGAGGGTTTTTAAAGGAAGTTATTAAAAAAAAGATGGAGCATAGATGTGGACCACCGTCTTGTAGTTCCATGTTGTCTTTCAAGTGAGTGTTCCTGAAGCTATTTAGCTTTCGGTACTGTCATACTCTGGCCTTTGGAAAAATGAAGTCATTCAGATGACTCTCTATGTTGCTTTTTTGTTGCATGTTGCACAAGACCTTTTTGTATTTTTTTATAATTTTATCTATTCTGTATATCTGCATAAAAGATATACATCTAGTTACATTTGTATCCTTTTAGTATATTAGTATAACAATAGTATTGTTTTTTTCAACAAAAATATTCCCAAGTAGCCATAGCTAAGACACCTGTTTATGAGTTATGTTCTTTATATAAATTATAAAACATGATAACACAATTGTGTCTTATTTATTATTAAACAACAATTAAAGTTTCAAAGATTAGAGTAGTGGCTTAAGTATACCCAAATCAATTCTAACATTTTGCTTTATATGTTTTTCTTTCTCTTCATCCAAAAAGATCCTGATCGCATCTTTAGAGAAAACTCAATGTATATGTTGAATAAATTAGATTTCTTTTACAGTTAAATGCAGTTACACTATAATTTTTATATAGTAAAATGACAATGTAGAAAAAGTTTTATATGATTGTTTTAATAATTTCAAGAATTGTAATTGTTTTAGAAAGAATTATTGTATGAAATGGTTTATTGATCTGTTTAAATCACTTATTCAGTTAGTCAGTTAGTCTAGCAGAATTAAACAAAACAAGTTGGGTGCTGAGCTGTATAACTAAATTAGCCCATGTCATAAAATGGGACAGAAACACAGCTTCTTACTATTCTAGAAGGAAAAAATGCAATCTTCATAGATTTTTATTATAAAAATGCTATTTCAAGGGGAAAAAATTACCCAGATAAAAATAACTGGCTACTAAGAAAATAATATTTAATTTGACAAAGAAGATTGCCTCAATCTTTCTTTAAAAAAATCTTTTTTTCTTTTTAGTACATTTTATTTTGGAATTCCTTTTTTAAATTCTCATATGCTCAACAGATTCTGAAGGCAGTGGACATGGCAGTGAAGATGGATCAAAGGATAGCGGAGAAGGTTCCTGTAGTGAATCAGAAGAAAACATATTGGAGGAAGAGCTGGCAGAAGAAGATGAAGAAAGGAAAAAACCAGAGGAAAAACCTAAAAATTCAGGTGGAGAAGAACTGCCAGTAACAGAGAAAAGGACTATTAAAACTGAGAAAAAAGAAGAGGAGGATGAAGAAGAGGAAGATAGAGAAGCAGAAGAGAAGGGAAAAAAGAAAAAGGAGAAAGAAAAAGAGGGAGAGAAGCCCAATGAAGGAGATGCTGGTGTTGATGAGCACACAAATGAGCCAAAAAAGTGGAACCTGAGAAGAAATCGCCCTCTTTTAGATTTTGTATCTATGGAAGAACTAAATGATATAGATGACTATGACAGTGAAGATGACAATGATTGGCGCCCAACTGCAGGAAAAAAGAAGGGGAAAAACACACTGCGCAGAGAAGGAAGTGATGGTGACAATGAGGATGATGAAGATGATGGGAGTGGAAGTGATGAGGATGACAATGAAGAGGAAGCCAATGATGATGAAGATAGCAGTGCTGCTAGCGATGGGGAATCCAAGAAGAAAAAAAACAAAGCTCTTAGCAGAAATAGTGTTGATGAGGAGGAGCTGACAAATGATAGCCTGGCTCTTTCACAAAGCAAGAGCAACGAGGTAGAATAGCCAACTTTATATAATCTTCTGATGAAAAATGGAACCTACTCTGCAATGTGGTTCCTTTGAAATTATTCTTTAAAGCTATGCAAAGTTACCGAATAATGATTGTATTAAGAGGCTTTTAATTGTGCTGAGTGCTCATTAAGATATCTTTGCTTCAGCTTTATTGAAATCCCATTAGAATTTTGGATTTAGATTTTTGGTTTTTACAGTATGAAGTCTGGATTCAGATTTAAGTGCATTTCAGATTTAACTTTTAGTAAGAAAGAATTTGTTGCCTCTTTTACAGCAAATGCACGAAAGACCCATGAAAAGTAAGCATGCAAAAGAAATCAGTACATTCCCTGTCATACCAGGAGCTAGGGACTTATATTCAATATACACGAGTCTTTCTTTTGTATATTGAAACACAATAGTGTATTATATTGTGTAATTTTTTAAAATTACGAACTTTCACAAGAAAAAAGAGGTTTTCATTTATATTCTTATGGTGAGACATTAAGATGACTTGCTTTACCATTTTCTCGTTTTTAATGATCTTGTGTATAATTTCTTTTAGTAAGGTTGTATCAGCTTTTAAAAATGTTACAATTCAGTTGTACTTCTTGAGATTGGGCTTAGTTTTATTTTTATTTTTTTACCAAAGAAACTCTTCTTTATTGTTTCTGAAATTTTAAAATTGACCCATTTATTTAACCAAAGGGTCTAAAATTAATCCCATAACTGAATCCTGTAAGTGCATGTATTAATTCTATAAGTGCACATTATTAAGCACTAAATTCTGATAACCTAAATCTTTTCAAAGTTTAAAATATAAGATGTTAATGGAAACATTCTTGACTATATTAAAGTCATATCCCAATTGTTAATATCTGTTGTGTTCATAAGTAAATAAACAGCAGCCCTGCGTAACTTGGCTTGCAAATAATGGGACATCTCCTATTCTTCTTTAGAATTGTTACTTTAGTGTAACAGTGTACCATCAGATTTTCAATAGATTATGATAATCTGCTGATAATAAAAAAGACAGCAGACTGTTATCCTCCCAGTCATATTCATGAGATGAATGGCCATATAAATTTACTAAATAAATAAATAGAGAATGAATCCTATTTAAGCAATTCTTAGAAATTATCTGCAGCTAATAAAAGCTATTAGGATCTTGTTTAGGGGAAATGGGATTTTTTTTTTCAGATACGCATACCAAGCACTTTCATTTCTGGTTATGTTTACATATACCAGTGCATTATGTTTACAAATACCAATGCATATTGTTGAATTATTTGATCTTTTATCAGTATAGCTTTTCATAGGAGAGGTTTTTTATTGGGGAGGGCAGGTCCCCAGTTAAATTGCTCTATATATTTTACAAGTATTAATATTCTGAATATTTTAAAGTTTTTATTAATATTATGCCTATAATATCAAAAAGCAAAAGGAGGCAAAACCATGCTCAGCAAAATGACTGAAGTTTTTATTGTAGAATTTCTCACCATCATCCTTGGATGATGGTGTTTTTAAGAACTGAACATGCATCTTCACAATTTTATATTATTGGAAACTATTGCAATGAAATCTTCAAAGATTTTGTGGCTGAGTATAAAAGTTTTTTTCTCTCTCTCCCCCTCCCCCCCCCCTCTGTCACTCACACTCACCAACTCACATACACACACAGATTAGTTTTTCAGACTGAAAGCTGCATCTGTATTCTATTTTAAGGAATAAAAAAAACTGAGGGCCAGAGAGATTAATTGCTCTGAATCACATTGCTAAATGCTATGTGCAGTTTTGCTGATGATAATCATTGCTGTAGTTTGAAATTTCTCAGTGCAATGTGTATTATAGTTAATATTTCAATCTGGTTTTCTGAATTCTCAGCCTTGATCATTAATTATGTATCTACTTCTTTTGCTCCTTAAAACACGAAAAAAATGTGAAATATTGAAAAATTTAATAATTTTGATATCTCAGTCAAAGAACATATTAATCTTATATTTATGTAATATATTTGGTAATTCTTTTACCAAAGTTTAGTACAGTAGTCTATGTCTGATTAGGATATAAAAGAGCATCTGCCTGGCCAGGTCATGATTTATACTAATATATACTAATATACTACCTTTTGCAACATTTTATATTTTAAAAAATATAAGTAGTTACTTATAGTAACTACTTTGTCACTTAAAGTATGCTAAGCATTGCTTATTCCACTATTTTCATAGAAATGTTCTAATAACAACCATGTTAATTTGTTAAGTTTTCTAATCAATAGAAATTCACTGGGATTCAGATGCAGTTAATTTTCCCAGATTAGGATCTATTTTTCTTCTGTATTTTATGAAATACTACTTAATTAACAACTTTCATAGTACTTCCAGCACTTATAATTATAAAAGGTTTGTTAATTTACACTGATGTATAAAAATGCTTAAAAACAGTGTAAAGAAAATAGGATGTGCAAAAGATTGGATTTGAACTGTTTTATGCACAAAATGTCCTATTTGGGGGTCAAAACTGCTGTTTCAAATGAGAAATGAGTTGATGAGTATTTTAAGTCTATCAAGGTTGCAACTGAGCAATTCCTGTTCCAAATACAGCTGTTGTAAACTTGGAATACTTCAAAGAAATGCTCAGAGCAACTTCATATTTAAACAGTTGTTGAGTGCTAAGAACAAGAACTATTTCATATGTGGATCAACATTTTGACCCAGAATCATAGGGCTGGAGGTCTTCTAGTCAACCCCCCTGTTAATTTGTATAGAATTAAATAGGAATCCTAGAACATCAGTGAAAAATGCATCTTGCTTTTCCAAAACTTTTGAGACCTAAAATGTGAATATATGTTTAAAATAGACACATTAGAAAGATAATGACCTTAATTTAGCAGCAAAAAATTATATTACTTTAAAAGTCACTTTGAATTCTGTAACGCTTACTTGAAAGCAGGTATATATAAAACTAGAACCCTAATGTAGAAATTATAGTTTTAATTTACACAGTGTATATGACAAAAGCCAAACAATTGTTTTAAAGAAAAGAACAAGTTTTCACATTTTGTAAATATATGTACATATAACAGCATCATTTAGAAATTATTTTTCTGGATGATATTTTATCCAGAATGTTTGATTAGACAGTAAATATAAAATTAGTTCACATACTTGGAAATATTTTACATTAGAATTTTGTAAATAAATGGAAATTCTTCATAATACTAGAGTAGTTTTTGTAGTTTTTAGTAGTTTTTGCCATGTTCTAAAGTATCAATCAGAATAGAACTGGAAGGGACGTTGTAGGTCTTCTAATCCAATTCCTGCTCAAGCAGAAGATCCTATACCATTTCAGAAAGGTGGCTGTCCAGTCTTTTCTTAAAAACCTCCAGTGATGAAGCACCTACAACTTCTGAAGGCAAGCTGTTCCACTGGTTAATTGTCCTCACTGTTGGGAAGTTTCTCCTTAATTCCAGGATGCTTCTTTTCTTGATTAGTTTCCATCCATTACTTCTTGTCTTGCCTTTAGGTACTTTGGGAAATGTTGACACCCTATTCTTTGTTGCAGCCGTTCAAACACTGGAATACTGCAATCATGTCATCCCAATCCTTCTTTTTTCTAGATTAGCCATACCCAATCATCTTAGTTGTTCATCTTTGCTCTTTTTCCAAAGTCTCATCTTTTTTGTAATGTGGTGACCAAAACTGGATGCAATATTTTAGATGTGGATTTATAAAGCGGTACTAATACTTGACGTGATTTTGATTCTATCTCTCTGTTTATACAACCAAGAACTATATTACCTTTTTTGGCTGCTTCCCCTGCTGGCTCATGTTTAACTGATTGTCCTCTATTACTCAAAAGTCCCTCTCACAGTTACTGTTTCTGAGCCAGGTTTCGCCTAATCTGCTGTTGTGCCTTTGGTTTTTCCTGCCTAGGTGTAAAACTTTGCTTTTCTCCACATTAAATTTCACATTGTTGCAGAGGGCCAACATTTATCATTTATGAAGATATTGAAGAATGATGGGCCTAAGATGGAATCTTGTAGTACTGCTTACTTCCCTTCATGTAGCTATAGCACCATTAAGGACTACTTGCTGAATACAGTTTGTACAGTTACAAATCCATCCGGTGGTGATACTGTCTACCCCACGTTTTTCCAGCTTACTAAGTAATAGGTTGTGATCTACTTTGTCAAATGCCTTACCGAAGTCTAAGTATATTATGTCCACAGCATTTCACTGGTCTACTAATTTAATCACTGTCAAAGAATGAAATAAGATTGGTTTAACATGATCTGTTTTTAACAAATCCATGCTGGCTTCTAATTATAGCTTTATTTGTCTCTAGATGTCCATGGATCTTTATTATTATCTTTTCCAGTATCTTCCCAAGTATTGATGTTAGGCTTGTTGATCTGTAAATTCCTGGTTCTGTTCCCCCCCCCCCCAAACTTTATTGAAGATGGGAATAACATCAGCTGTTTTCCAGTCGTCAGGTAATTCCCCGATGCTCCAGGATTTTTGAAAGATATGGTACAATGGTTCTGAAATAACATCTACCAGCTCTTAACTCGGGGATGTAATCTATCAGATCCCAATGATTTATATTCATCAAGATCAGACAGATGTTCTCTTCCCATTTTCTTTATTATTTTAATCTTTATTCCTAGTCTATCTTTTACAGTTATGTTTTAGTAGGTTGGGCTATAATTTCTTTTTGTGTTAAGACTGAATTAAGCAGCTCTGCTTTCTCTCTACTGCCTGTTACTTCCTTGCCATCTTCTCTATTTAGTAGATTGACTGTTTCCTTCACTTTTTTCTTGTTATTTATATGTTGAAAGAAACTTTTTTTAAATTATCTTTGACTTTTGTTGCAAATCTTTCTTCATTCTGAGCCTTTGCTTTCTAGTCTTCGTCTTTGCAGATTTGGGCTATCTGCTGATATCCTGCCTTAATTATGTGTGTCTCTTTCAATTTTTTGTACTTATTCTTTTTGTCTTTCAG